CTGGGGTTTGCTCTAGACAGGCCACAGTACATAAATAGAGAGCAAGCCCCAGCCCATTTTAGCACTGAAGATGTTACCTAGCCGGGTAATGAGACATTTGCAAGAAAAGAACCAAGCTCAGAGAACCCCAAGGACTCCACAGTTCAATCCTGAGCTACACATATTCACCTCTATTGGAGCCTTTAACCTGTGTTCACTAAAGTTTTCCCTGTGTCCTTTTACTATATTATATTCTTCTGCTAATTTAAAGAAATGTTGTTTCTTTCAAGAATGAATGAACAACATCTGTTGAATCTTTAAAAGTTGTACCAAATGAAAGGCATGTGAGCGGAAGACATCTTTGATAAAGAGAAAATGATGCCTGTGTGGTGGTGGTGGTGTTGTAGGAGGACACAATTCAATCATCCATATTAATTTAATTTTCTTTAGAAGTTCTAGAGCAGTGTTTCTCAACCTTGGCAACTTTAAGATGTATGGACTTCAATTCCCAGAATTCCCAAGCCACCACGCTGGGAAAACAGGATTGATTTCTACTGTGTGCATATTGTATTGCTGCTTAAGGAAATAAATCCTTTGGAAACAAGCATCTATTTTATGTTGATTTTCATTTATGTAATTCAAGTAAACCACAGGCTGAGCTTAGCTCCTGGTGACCTCATAAACAGGGGCCAGTATAACATCTTTGCTATCTCTGTATGCCTAGTGGGAATAAGACAAAACATATGTCAACCCCAACATAGTATTCATAATCATATATCATTATTTCACCTCTTAATTTCAATTTCCCTCTCTGCTTCCCCCATTCTTTGGAGAGTTTGCGGCCATAGGAAATTTTGTCAATCAAAATTGAAGGATGCTTTAAATATACCCATATGACTTTAGGGAAATAAGTAAGTTGTGTTCTTTCAACTCAGTGGCCAAATGTTTATTCTGTACTGCTGGGATTTTCACTAAATTGTCTCTGAAAATTGACTCTGTTACATCATTTGAGTGGGAGATGGAGAACTGTTTTTTGAAAAGAAAAAAACCTTTTAAAGCTGTAATACTGTGGGTTCTGGTATTAATTTTGTTCCCTAAGACTATCTGCAAGGTTCATTTTGCCAAATGCAATAGCAATGAGCCGAGTATAATTTTTCATAGATATTATCAACCAGGAGAACTCATTATTGGTGGAGTAACTTCTCAGTTCTTTGTTAATTCAGAGGAAATCAAATTCACAATGCAACCCATTCAAGATGTGGGTGATTTCATGTAAGGAACTGAAACTTTTCAAACTCTACCATACCTCTATTCTGAGGAATCGAAACAAAATTATACCAATTTGGGTTATTGTTTGGGGGAGATATTGTGGACTTCCACAATATCTCCTTTTTTTACCATTTTCAAACAGCTTGATAACTGATCTCATTCTGTGAGTATTAATGATTACTGTAGAGAAGTAATTGTTGGACTTAATAGTTCTTCTAGTCATTTAGGAATACAAACAAGAAATATGTTCATGTCCTTACCCAAAATCTAGAGTTCACTAAGTGCTTCTTATACTATAGGAAAATGAGGGCCATCACTGAATCACATTTCCTTGTGGGAGCAGTCAAACCTGCCATTTTGCAAATTCTATGTGGTAGGTCTTAAATGTGGAAAAGAAGAGAAATTTATATTAGATAGTGGGATTTTTAGTACAGGAGAAAAGAGGGAGGGGG